AGCGCCTCAACATCTCGGATACGACACCAGCCACCCCGAGCAGAGACGCGTCAAAGTCACCATGTTCGAGAGATCTACCGTTGACGCCAAGAGGTATGTCGCCTGCGTCACCAGTAGTATCTAGCGACCCACCAAGCAACAGTGACGACAACTTGCACGAGTTTGACGGCGCGAAGTTACGCCTGTCAAGAACGCACCGGTTACGTCAGCTGCTGAGGAACTAGAGAAAAAGGACCAAGCCTTTGAGGAAAAAGTGAGGAAACTGTACCCGTTTCTGTTACAGCCACCTACTGAGCTAACAGACAAATGTCGGGTTTTGGATACAGGATGCGGTTACGGTTTAAGTGGAAACTCGTTGGTCTTCGTGGTCAAACAGCCCAACTCAGACTACATATTTACATTTGGACAGGGCTTTAAACTGAGAAATACATTTATTGGTACTATTAAACTGTCCTTAATGGGTCCAACCGGAGTTAAATCAATACAGTTTGGGAATATTGCATGAGCACCCCCACACGAAATCAAATATTTTAAGTGAATATTGGCTTAATCAGGCAGGCTACCAAATTATAGCTAGTAACAGTTGGAAACACAAATTATTGTTTGTAGCAAAGATATTCAATGAAGCATACTATGTTCAAGACTGCACAATATAATAAAGACATAGAACATGAAATGCGATTACTGGCTATTCCAAATCTCAGCAAGGTAGAGTATCTCATAAAAGAATGGCATGTACGCCTAGGACATTTTAATAAAGAGAAACTCATAGAGATGATGTCCAATCAACTTGTCAAAAAGATTCCATACATTGAGAGTTCTAAGCTGAGAAAGATAAACTTTTTCTGCTCAACATGCGCAGAAATGAAGATGAAAAGAATGTCCTACAGAAACACGGGGTTTTCAAGACGAACGCCCTATAAGTACCATCCACATGGACACAAACGGACCTATGAGAACTATGGGTGTATGGAACTGTAGGAACAATCCGATATTTTCTAAGTATAAACGATGACCAATCCTCGTGGCGCTGGACGTACGTGCTACGAAATAAAGGAGAAGCAACGACAAAACCAAAACACTGCTCTTACAGCTAGAGCGTGAAGGAAAATTTACAATTCGACGCATACGATCGGATGAAGGTACAGAATTTGTAAATCAGGCATTCAAAAAATTCTGTAGGGAAAAGAGTGTCGTGTTTCAAATGTCAAACGCATAGTGTCCAGAAGAAAACGGTGCCGCAGAACGCGATCACCAAACCAAATTAAGTAAAGTTCGTTGTGCACTTAAGGATGCCGGCTTAGCTGAGCGCTGGTGGCCAGAGGCACTTATGCACATGACATATATTCAGAACAGAACTCCTATGAGCCGCTTAAGGAACACAACACCATACGAAGTGGTCTACGGCAAGGTACCTGATGTTAGTGATCTTCGCAACTGGGGTAGCGTTTGTTTTGCACATGTATTGTGCCTTTCTACCAAAACGCCCTCCGATTTATGGTCCTACGTAAGGCCTTTGCCCCTACGTAAGGCCCCGTAAAACCTACCCTGGGGGCGAGTAAAAGGCTGGTCTGTAACATAAAA